ACATGGTAAAACCCTGTCTCTACTAGATATGCGAAAATTAGCTGGGCATGGTGGCACACGCCTGTAATCCCAGCTACTCAGGAGGATGAGACAGGAGAATCACTTGAACTCAGGAAGCAGAGGTTGCAGTGAGCCAAGATCAACGCCACTGCACTCCAGCCTGGGCAACAGAGCAAGACTCCTTCTCAAAAAACAAACAAAAAATCAACATTGTTTTCTACTCTTCTGCCACAATTACTCATTCAGAGTAAGTAGCTGCTTTCTAATGGTAATGTTATTTACTCACTGGGGTTTCCTCATGTGGCATACCTTAAGCTATGTGGTTCGCTGACACACACATAAACATACATACACACACACTCTCACCTCTTAGAAAGTGTCTTACTGCAAGTATCAAAAAAAAGTGCTGCCAGTAATTCAGATCAGTGTTTTCCAGTCAGTAACCTTAATAACAGATTCACTATTAACATTCGATAACAAAGGAGACTGAAATATTATCTTGTCCTTCTGCATTTTGAATTTATACAACTGTTTGCTGATTAATAACTATGCTAAAGGAAAGTTTTTAAAGGAAATCTTATTCTGTCAAAGCTGAGTTTACTTTCACTTATTGCTTAATTTAACAACAACAAAAAAATGGATGTGTTTTTCTACGAGCTTATAATTAGTCAGCCATAGCTTTAACACATCCAGCTGGGAAATCTCAAGGACACAACAAGCTTTACATTTCAGATGGACCTGTGTCCCACTAAACCCTGCTTAGCTTAGGTTCTTCTGCTAATAGCTCTACTATTCAAGCCAAAGGCCACAGACTAGTATCTTTTCCATTTTCCTTTTCTCCTATCCAGTCACGTCAATGTTATCTCTCAGAAGATATAAATTCAAGGCTGGGCACAGTGGTTCACACCTAATCCCAGCATTTTGGGAGCCCAAGGCTGGTGGATTGCCTGAGCTTAGGAGTTCGAGACCAGCCTGGGCAACAAAGTGAAACCCTGCCTCTACCAAAAATGCAAAAAAATTAGCCAGACATGGTGGTGTGCACCTGTAATCCCAGATACTCAGGAGGCTGAGGTGGAAGGATCACTTGATCCTGGGAGGTAGAAGTTGCAGTGAGCCGAGATCACACCACTGCACTCCAACCTGGGGGACAGAGTGAGACCCTGCCTCAAAAAAAAAAAAAAAAAGACAATTCAAATTCCATGCCTTTCTCTCCATCGTGACTGCCACAGCTCAATCATCCCTTTACTCCTTAAGCTTCCTTGAGTTTCTAATTGGTCTCCCTATTTCAGTCTTCACAACTGATCCTCTGTGCTTCCATCAGCATGTTACGATACAAAAATCCAAACTCACATCAAACTCTTGAAATGCCCTGGCATGCTATCAGACAAATCAATTGTCTCTGCTTTCACCATTAGGCTTCTGCCTATCTCTCCAACCCTTCACACTGTACTTCCTGGTCTTAACAGTGTCAAACTCACTGTGGTTTTCACAGATTCCTTCTAGCCCCTACCACCACCTCTGCAGAGGCTTTGCTGTTTGGCTGCAATGTCCTACTGCTTCTCAGCTGGAGTTTCCCAACTTAAAATTTGATTCAGCTGTCACTAGTTCTAGGCAATTTCCATGACAAATTTCTTTGAGGATCCCATGAAGTTATTTGTCTCCTTCAGCTACTGTAGCATTCTGGACAACATTTACCATCCTACTGGATATATTTCACATTGGTCTCCAGAACTGACTGAAAACTTCCTGAAGGCACGATACTACCTTTTTTTAAAAAAAATCTAAACCCACAACAATGTTTATGGACAACTGTATCTACATTAATACCAGGGACTGGTTAACCATTATCCATTATTAACAATAACCAACTCTTGACAACCAAAACCCAAAATAATGTCATTAAATAAGAGTTAATACTTCAAGTGGTAGCTGAGCTCAAGGAAACTTAACCATCAGAGTGATCACTCTGTCCAATCACATACTAGTTAAGGATGAATATCCATACCACGTTTTAGTGTGCAAATCAGCTGCTGTTTGGATTGCAGGAGCTCAGTCTTAAAAAGTGCTTCAAAGATTTTCAAAAGCCAACGTCAAGGAAATTATCTAGTGAAATGTGCACTGGACTCATTTTAATCTATGTGTATTTTTAAAGTAAATAGGCAAAGATCCCTATTAACTTTCTTGAAATAGCTTATTAGCAGTAATATCCCCTGCTATCTGTGTTCATGGGCTCCTATAGGGCAGGGATGCCATCATCGTTCTACTTCTAGCACACTCCAGGTACTAAATAAATGTAATGAAAAGATAACCAGTTCATCATCTAACTTCATGGATGAGTCATATGCGGAAGTGAATTGCCAAGTGACAGAGGCAGAAAGCAAGGTAAAGTTAATTAAGTTTCCTAAATATTAGTTTATTGTTTGCCTCTAACTCATTTCAGTGAGAAACTATTTTTAAGTGTGACCAATACATACTTTACTTATGTAGTGTATCAAGGAGACCAAAACTTAAGTGATCTCAAAAAGACTACCAATGTAAAATACATACCCTACATGGACATGACAGGTAAATAATGTGTCTTATTCTTGTGAGGGTGGTTACTGCTATAAACAAAGCCTATATCCTGAGAAGGGAGGGTCTTTGGGTTGCATGGTTTCACTTTTGTTTCATCTCTGGGTTATGCAATGTCCAGCATAAATGTGACACAACATGTTCAGCCTTGTTCTGTGTGGCCAGTTTTGATCACTTCAGAACTGTTTACCTCATCAGTGCATTATTTTAAGTTCTTTTCTTTTCTTCCCTGATGTTTAGCCATTATGGGGCCAAATAACTCCATAAGGTAGTTTAACAGGGAAAAACATCAAATAAGTTAGTATTGTTAGGGACTCTAGCAAGTCCTAGGATTAGGAAATGGGGTAAAAATTTAAAATTTAGATACCAGCACATTTAAATCATTCATGTCAACTTGGATTAATATATTATGGAAAATTGCAATCTGGATCTGTACTGTACATTCAACTTCTTTTTAAATCATAGATTCTGTGTACTATGCATTCTCCAGCATCCATATGGATAATTTTAATTTCTGTATCTTCAGCATCCATATGGATAATTTTAATGCTAATAGTCCCCACTGGGATGCCATTAACTTAAGAAATCATTTTTATTTTTATAGTACAAAGCAAATGAATGTATAGGCACATTTATTTCAATCAAGTCATAATCTGAACCTAAAATGCAAAGCAAAAGATTAACGTGCATTTAATACGTATTTCAAGTCTTTGTAACAGAGAAGAAAAATCATTACAAAATTAAGGTATGAGACATCAAGTCACTAATGATAGAGTTGATTAGACAATGGCTTCCATGTTCCATCTAATGACATGGAACAATGTACATTTGACAATTCAGCCTTAAAGGGTTAAGTAGAATAAACTTCAGGCAGCTCCTTACACTCAACTGCCTCAGTAACAAGACTCAAAGAATAGATATTTTCCCTCTCAATGATAATAGTTCAGTGCTAACACTTGTAGTTTCATATTGGATAAAAGCTAAGGAATGGGTCATCCTGAAAGATTATAAAATACAAAACTTATTAGCTTCAAGAAGGATTAAACCTCTAAGAATTGGGACCCATTTCTGTTTATAGATAGAAATATTCAACAGAAAAACAAATTTCTAATTTTAAATTTCTGGCCCACATACTCAAAACAAATGACCTATACCTCATCAAGCTTTTATGAAAACTGATGGCATTACACACAAAATTCATCATCTCCCTAGCATGCCCAATGAAACAAAAAGAAGGTACAGAACACGTGATGAAAGTAGAAGAGACAGACTCAGATTTGTGCTAAAATCTAGGCCAAAGAAGCTGCAGATGCACACAGAGCAAGGCCAGCAAAGAATCTTCCACATATACTCTGGTTCATAAACCATCTGTTTGGGTTTGGGGACTTTTTATTCTTTAAGTCCAGTAGCCTATACTTCCTAAGAAATATTATTAAAAACTACATAACAGCAAAAATAATAAAATAGAATTACTTAGCTGAGGTATTTGGATTTATATTTAGAGGATGACAAAATGATATTTGACAAAGTATATAGTCTCCTTTAACTCAAAAAGGAAGACATGTTAATATAATTTATTATAAACTTCAGCCCAATCAGTCTTAAATGTTTTTGACTCTTATGACTAAGTGTTAATTATGGACACTGTTATCCTAGAATACCACTTGATAGCCCTGCATTAATTCTGCTATACCAAAGACATACCTTTTTAAAATAAAATAAAATTAAATTAAATTAAATTAAATTAAATTAAATAAAGCAACCATTTACACTTACTAAGAAAAACAAAAATTTACTTCAAATTGTAGTATAGGCTTTTCAATCACAAAAAGAAAGAAAAGAACAGTGATCTGACAGTGGTCACATCCTGTGCAAAAAACTTGATACAAAAATGGTAGCACATGGTATCTGAGGTGCTTACATTACAGGAAAAAGGAAATACAGTAGCTGAAATATGGCACTCCTGGGAATCAACTTCTAAACCAAATAGAATGCCTTTGAAATGATTAAATTTATTTGTGTATTAGTAAGAAAGCCCCACCACCATAAATAGTACAATATTTAAAAATAAAAAAAAATATATCTATCTAAGATAGATAGTGTATTTATACTGTTAGACTTCTTTAAGTGCAGAAGGTGGTTCAGGTTTTGCCCTTTTTTTAAAATTAAATAACTGACCATATGCTTTATAAAGTTTCACTCAATCACAAAAGCCAATTATATCAAGGAATATGATATCAAAGTTGCATAATTTCATGTGGGACTGCCAGCAGGTTAAAGTCTTAAGTCTTTAACATTAATGTTCATTTTTAGTCAATGAATAGTTAAAAAGTTCTCAAATCTTCATATCCTCTTGAACTTGCCCTTCTAAATGATCCTCAGACTGCAATTTCTAGTTTGCAAATAAAATAATGCAATATGCATCATACTTCAAGAAAAGATGATGATGTCGAACTAACATGCTTCTGGATCTTTTCCCTGCTCCTTTCAACCTTCTTTATAATTTCTGCCACTATGCACACTGATGAGGTGAGACCCAAAAGAAACAACAGATCTGCAAGAGAAAATAAGTTGGGTTTTACATTTCTTTGAAACTTACAGTTGCAAAGCTTAATAGCTTACATTTTTCTAGCATTTTACCACAATTTTTTTTTTTTTTTTAGGCGGAGTCTTGCTCTGTTGCCCAGGCTGGAATGCAGTGGTGTGATCTAGGCTCACTGCAACCTCTGCCTCCCGGGTTCAAGCCATTCTCCTGCCTCAGCCTCCCAAGTGGCTGAGATTACAGGCATGTGCCATCACACCCAGCTAATTTTTGTATTTTTAGTAGAGATGGGGTTTCACCATTTTGGACAGGCTCGTCTCGTACTCCTAACCTCAAGTGATCTGCCTGCCTCAGCCTCCCAAACTGTTGGGATTACTGGCATGAGCCATGGCGCCTGGCCACCACAGCTTTCAAATACATTGTTTCACAACTATTCCATAACGTAGGCACAATCACCCTCAGTTAAAAATAAGAAAAGAAAAAAAGATATTAAATGACTTATCCAAAGTCATATAACTAGGAAAGGCAGCAGCCAGAATTAGAACCTAAGTCCTCTGACCACTTTCCCTGAAAGCTTATGTGGCTAGCCTTTATCAGTAACACCAACAAAAGGAGTTTTTTTATTTCATAGATCACACAGCCCTTTAAAAAAGTACTGTATCAACAGTAGTAGACACTTTGAATGAAAGTGCCTATCTGAAGATTAAAAATTTGACATTAATATGTTCTATTTCAAAGCATAGAAGACTTGTCTTTACAATAGTATCCACACTATCTCAATTCTTATTTACTGCTTGGAAAATTGCAGATGTTTCCTTAAAACGCCATTTTTTAAAAAAAGAGGAAGCAATGTGAATATGGAATTAAAATACTGAAATTCCACTAGTTCAATTTCAAGGTAAATTTTAACTTGTAACAAAAAATACAGTGACACTGTATAACTATTTTCATAAATACCCAAATTAAGAATTCAATAAAGGATAGCATTATTGTCAAATACATCATTCCTCACACTTACATAGGAAAACTGATTTTTAAATGCACTGTATTATACATATAATAAATGGTAACGTAAGAATAATGTGTAATTTCCAAATAATCTTTATAAAACATTCTACTATTTGGGTCAGACTGACATTTTGTGAAATTAGAATGTACAAACAAGAAAGAATTATTCGTTTAACTACTGAAAATTCTAACTTTAAAGAAGAGAGCAACTTGGTTTTCAGGGAGATTAAGTCTAGTTTTCTCTTCATACAAGATGGCATAGTACATAAAAAGTTATAAACTATACAGCAGGTTTTGATTTGCTATATTTGAGAATCACATAATATGATTTTTATAACAATTGATAACCTATAAAAAAGCAAAAACCAAAACCCTGGATTTAGGTGAGTAATTCCCCTGAGCTTTCCCAAATGAAAAAATAGATTCCTTTTTCAAATCAAGTGATTTACTTATTTTGCTATTTTAAAAGAATTTTAAAATCAAAACGAACACATTAGAAAATATGATTTATCTAAAGTATATAAATGATAAAGATAACGTTTTCTTTACCCAGTATGCTTAGGCTCTCAGTCTGAAAAACCTTTTGAAGTGGAGGAAAGTAAATAACTAGTAATTGTCCCATGATGGATCCAAGAACTGCATAGCAAAACATTTTATTACTGCAGAGTCCAATCTCAAACACAGACTTGGTCTGTTGGCAGAGCAGACAGTTCAATTATTACTCCTTGGTCACAGAAATAACTTCTTTATTATATTCACTTCTAATTTTTAATAAGCAGTATAACTTTATCACTGAATTCTACAGTGTCAATTCTATGAAATCTCTTAAATTTTACTATTGTTTTGGAATAATTCAGATGGAATAAGGGTAAATATTAAAGTAGCTTTTATTTTATTTATCAAGAAAGGGCTTGCTTAAAAAAAAGTGACACTATATAAATGAGACCATTTTTAACATCCCAAACATCAAGAAACTTTATTTGTATTTTGCTAAATCATTTCTTCTTTTAACATCCCAACCATCAAGAAACTTCTCTGTAGTTTGCTAAATCGTTTCTATCCATTCTCACTAAGGTAGATATCTAAAATCCTTTCTTGGAGAATGGACCTAATTATGTGTGTACTGAAAAAGTAAAACCACTTTTCATAAAAAAATAATTACAGCTTCTTCAAAAATTGGTCAATTAGTGAGAATTCACTGTACTCGGAAGCTCTAGCATGGCAAATGGTAATATAGTTAAGAATTCATAAAGTGCTTTAAAGCTGAAATGAATAGTCACGCCTCAAATGAAACTAGTTTTTAAGGACAATATGCTCTAAAAAAGTACCACAAAGCTCTAGCCCATTATTTTCTATCAAAACACTTAGACCAAGAAGCAGCAGTCACATCTTAAGATACAACAAGGGAAGAAAAGCAAAATTAAAATGTCCTAAGCTTTGACACAATGACAGGAGTGATGGGAAAAAAATTGGCACAAAACTGCTATTGTACTCCTAGCAATACTGTCTTCTAAGATGAGATTAATAAAATCTCAACAGAACCTATGAGGTTTGTTCTATGCTCAGATAATGTTAACCATGATCTATCTTACAGCTATAGCCAGCTAAACCCAGACGACAACACCTGTGAATTATTAATACTTTTATGTTCTAGTCAGACATAAAGCTTACCTCCCGCAAATGCCCCATCCTCATTGTGACCAATGGCACATGTTTATAAGAAGGCTATGTCTGGGGCTGCAATCGGTGGTTACAAAATTAAGCAAAGCTTAAAACCCATAATCTTTGCCTACTTATTAGAAAGCAGTCTACTCAAGTGAGTCAATCAAGTCAATCAACTAAGATCACCTAAACATACCTGGGATCTGGAACTTAGTGCATTGAACATGTCAAAAAACACAAAGCATGTGAATGTCATTGTTGTGTCTCGAGGTGTAATCACATTGTCTCGTAGCTGTCAAGAGGTAATAACGAAATTACTTTTCAGTGGCTGAATTTAATGGATAAATAACATGCTTTTTAAAAAATATAAATATTTTCTTTCTATTAGGAAGAAATAGCTTTAGCCTAACATACGAAACATAAAAGCTACCCAAATTTCCTATAAATCACCTAGCGAATAGTTGTAATCTACATAATAAAAAGTAAAAAAAAAACCTCATGAACTATATATTAGATATTAAAATACTGTTATTATTTAAAAATAAAGTGGTTGTATGATTTTAAGACTCAGGTTTTCAAAATTCTCTCTAAATTTTCATTTCTTTTTATTGTATCTGATACTTCTCTGCAGATTTATTCTAATACATGAATCAATAATTTTATTTATCCATAAAGATGGAAATCAAACTCTTTTAAAATGTTCTTATCATATTTTTCACTAAAAGAGGCTCCCTTAACTTCCCAGCCTTCTGGGTAACCCATCAAAATAACTAAGAATCCTATTATATATATAGAATTCATGTTAATATAGCAGCTTGGCCAGTGAATATACCTCACGCCAGAAGACAAACAAAGTCCCACAAACAATGATTATTGATGAAACAAGTATTTTAAGTATCAAGTTTTTAGTCAAAATGCTGTCTTTCCAGTTGCGAGGAGGTTTACGAATGACATCTTTATCCACTGGTTCTACTCCAAGGCTTAAAAACAAACAGAAAAATAAATTACTTTCAAGTTTTAAGGTTTGGATTTGTTACTTTCACAACCTCACTAACCTCAATTATTCAGCAAATTAAATGCTTTCTTATGGAAACAAAATGTTGAATCATAAAGAAAACCTTGGCTATGATTATACAAAAATAACACTGATTTTGTCACTTTTTCTCTCCTCTTTAACTTATTTGTTTGGCACAATTTGACAGGGGATAGATAATCCACTTTCAAAAAACCATCCAATTCATTTACATGTAAGTTTACCTCAAATACGGTGTGAAATACATGACCTACCAACTGAATTTTGAAGTATCTTTCATATAAAGAGGTTTTGACTGAGATGATTTGCTGGAGTGGCCAAATGACATCTATCACTCAACTACTCCATTAGCATTCAATTTTTTTAAAAAGTTATGACACTCAGGTCCTCTAATACTTTCCCAAAGTCTCTAAAACTGACAACAGCAGAACCTAGATAATAACACTGAACCCAGAAATTTCTCCATTATATCCAATATTTAGAAATAAAAGGCTTACTTCCTGAGGACAGGGATAGCACCTATTCCTGATCTATTCTCAACCTTACGCTAGGCATCTAACAGTGTAAAGGCTCAGATCTACACTGCATGCACACTCAAAAAGAATAAATAAAATACGCACATCACACAATTTATAATATAAATGTTAAAACATTTGCTGCAAAGTTTTCCAATACTGTCCATAAATCAAGTTTTAAAACTTAATTATCAGGGTAGCACACATTCCTTGTTTTTCCAGCTTATGCAATAAAAAACTCGTACCTTTGGGCTGGGGGTCCATCCATAATAATATTGATCCACAAAATCTGCATGGCATTGAGAGGATTAGGAAAGTTCATTAATGTAGCCAATGAGATTAAAGTTAATGCTGCTATACTCCTGTTGAAAAAGAGAGTCATTTAAAAATATCAGCATAGTAAATCTGTTGATTCTATGATACCACTTAAAAATTTCACTACTACTATGGTTTTAAAGGAAGACTGTAAACTATTCTTCATTCATGTGGACATTTTAAAGCTAATAGTATTTTAACAAAGGATTTTCAAGATGTTTAGCCAACAGGAACAAATAAAGAATTTTTATATGTGCATGATAGTTTCAACAGTATTTCGGTAACCGTTTTTTGACTACACGATACCCGTTCTACTTTTGGAAAAAGATACCAAGAGGAAACAATGAGATGTGACTCATCCCTGATTTCATGAGCTATTAAATAAATCACAAAGATTTATATATTTTGATGATATAGACATCTAATTGCTACATTTACAACCTATTTATCATGCCACTTTAAATTTCTGAATACAATAAATTTTCTTTTTGGAAAACTGACATATGAACAATGCTCAGAAATATAAGGCAGATAAGTTTCTAGGCATTCTGCTTAGGTTCTATTTTTCATATAATTTATCCAGAAGACCCATGGTGACAAATTCCTTGCAAACTTACGTGCTCAGCTGGAATCTAACGAAATTTTTAATGTTATTATAAATCCCTTTACCCTCTTCAATTGCAGACCTGAAATTTAAAAAATAAAGATGAAGTGAGAAAATATTATCATATAAAAATGTATCTATACTAAAACACTGTGGAGCTAATTTTGAAAATAAATTTCCAGCCAGGCACTGTGGCTCAAGCCTGTAATCCCAGCACATTGGGAGGCCGAAGCTGGCAGATCACCTGAGGTCAGGAGTTCGGACCAGCCTGACCAACATGGCAAAACCCCGTCTCTAATAAAAATACAAAAATTAGCTGGGTGTGGTGGCGCATGCCTGTAATCCCAGCTACTTGGGAGGCCGAGGCAGGAGAATCGCTTAAACCTGGGAGGCGGAGGTTGCAGTGAGCCGAGATCACACCACTGCACTCCAGCCCTGGCAACAAAGTGAGACTCTGTCACAAACAAACAAACAAACAAACAAACAAATAAATAAATAAATAAAATAAAATTTCAACTAATACAACACATGTATCAATATGGAAACATTTATTTTAGCAAAGAATTAAAGTCAAGCCTAAGCTCTACCTGAACTAATTTGTCACAGTATTAAAATTCTTATTCTGAAGAAGATATTTCAACATTAAAATCATACATTGTCTCTCCCCACAAGAGAAAATACTTCACATTCATAATACATAAAATGATTTTTTGTTTTTGTTTTTGTTTTTGAGACAGGGTCTTGCTCTGCTTCCCAAGCTGGAGTGCAGTGGCACAATCTTAACTTACTGCACCTCGACCTTCCTGGCTCAAGCAATCCTCCCAACTCAGCCTCCAGAGTAGCTGAGACCACAGGCTCAAGTCACCACTCCCAGCTATTTTTTTTTTTTGTATTGTTTGGAGAGATGGGTTTTGACATGTTGCCTAGGCTGGTTTCGAACTCCTGGGCTCAAGTGATCCATCCACCTCAACCTCCCAAAGTGCTGGCATTACAGGCATGAGATACCATGCCCAGCCATGATTATCTTCTTCACCTTCCTCTAAGCTCATTTTTCTTAGTGGTACAAAATGCAGAGTAAAGGTTTAAACTAATGTATGTCAGGAATCAAATGGCAATGAGATATATAAGAATTATAGAATTTAAGCTACGTGGTGTTCCTACACATCAAGTAGATCACATGTTGCAGAGGAATTAAATAGAGAACACAGTTTACAAGGATTCATATAAATTCTCTCATTCATGTAGCTGAATCCAAGAAAATATAGGCTTTTTAATCAACTTCCCATTTCTTCTAAGAATTCTATATAATTCTAATAATGGAAAGAAAAAACTCGTATCTTTGCAAAAGCTTGGCAAATACTGTGAGTCCTGAGCTCCCAAATGTTTTGCTGTAGGCCAAATCAGAGTAATAAAACAGCCTGGAACATATAATTAGAATTTATCACTAAACTCAGGTCATCCAACAGGTGGCTACCAAAAATAAATAAATAAATAAATGGGATTCACATGATCCCCAACTGAACACTGTAAAACTGACACCACCATGTATTACACTGGAGTCTTAATTGGAAACTGTGGCTTACACAAATAAAGCTATCTAAATTTAATAAATGATAACATTAAATGAGGGCAACATGAATAAATTACTGATATAAAAAAACAGGTATGGATGGAAACTTCATAATTTTCAATATTTATTATAAGGCCCAAAAAAGAGCCATACATATGCATAATTCTAACTACTTGAATTTAACATAAAGGCCATTACTATACCATCATATTAGTGCCCAGAAAAAGGTGACATGTGGCTGGCACTTGGCAAATATTTCTTAAATGAGAGTCTTGCCATTTACTATGTCTGTTCCAGCCACACAAATCATTTTCTTCATAACTATACAACAGACCATAAAATAGGATAATTACCCTAGAAAAATGGCTTAGTTTACCTAATTGTTAAATACTAATTCTTTTCCAGTTGAATTCTCTAGGGGTGGCAGACAGGAAAGGATAGGGGAAGATTCTCTGATAGGCATTCACTGAAATAAAGCTTACATTATGGTTTGAAAATCATCATCCACTAGGATCATGTCTGCTGCCTCTTTGCAAACATCTGTACCAGTCTGGCCCATCGCAACTCCAATGTCTGCAGCCTTCAGAGCAACTGCATCATTTACTCCATCTCCTGTCATGGCTACAACTGAACCGTTCTTCTGCAGTGACTACAGTGGAGCAGAGGACAGGGGAGAGGAAGGAATTCTGATAAAAATGTTGCTTCCATACAAAGCAATAAACAAATTCTCCCTAATTATTTTTCACATAATTAAGATTAGAAATAATATAGACCACCCATTTTTCAACAAACTTCAACAAATGGAGATCTCAGTAAGATAAAGCTTAGAAAAAGTTGCTACTAATATTTCCATCTGTGAGAACTGTATCTCTAAATTCTGTTCTTCAAACAACTATACAATGATTCTCAACCAGGGGCAATTTCATCTCCCAGGGGACATGTGACAATGTTTGGAGATGTTTCTGAGTGTCGTGATTTGGGGGATGTCACTGGCATCTAATGGGAAGGGGCTAAGGATGCTGCTAAACATTCTATAACACACAAGGCAGCCCTTCACAACAAGGAATTATCTAGTCCAAAATGTCAATGGTGCCAACGTTGAGAAACTCTGAACTACACAATGGCTGGTTATCATGATTAATAACTTAAGACCATTAACTACTGGATACTATATCAGTTGCTTTATATATAATTGACTAATATAAATAATCATAGCCTTTTAAGTATTGTTCACACTATCATAACACTATTTCCTTGCTGTATTTATTTAGTTTCTAACTTATTACCGCTATTCACACTGGGAAGACTTGGCTGTGGACCCCAGTTAGAACATTCTTTTATACTGTCTGTTTAAAGAAAGCTACATTTGCAGATACTTCGTTCAAGTTTTCTTCTATATCTTATGCCAACTAAATTCTCTATTAGTGTTTCTATGTCAAGCTCTTACAAAAACAAACACTGTTTTGCTTCACAGTATTTCTGACCTTCATGCTCTACTTCCTGTAATGCAAACATAACAAAAGTAAAGTAGCAGCATTTTGTATACAGAAATAAAACAATCTGATTCTTAGACACTCACCTTAATAATTTTCATCTTGTGCCTTGGGCTAGCTCTGTAAAATACTGCAACCTGTTAAAATACAAGATACACTAAAAATCTTCAATATTAAGATTTCCACAGAATAACCCATGCATTCATAACTAATGATGAAAAACTCATCAATTTAAGCTGTATTTAATTTGCCACTGAGATCAAGCTTAAGCAGTATGCCATATGTTTGTTAAGACATTCATTTGATATGGTCATTTCGATCTTTACCAAAGGTACCACAGGAAATACACAATCTAAACAAGTCATCCAATTTATACCATTATGTGTAAACTCTGGAGAGAAAACAGCCTTATTCTTGAAATGTTCCAGAGACAAAAAAAGGAAAAATTCTCTTGCGTCTGTTTCCTACAACACTCGCATACCACTAAAATAGCCTTTTCCCTTTGTTCTGTCTTCAGGAGCAATAAAGAACAGCTGCTTCTCAATGTCTGTAGAGCCATTTTTTAGTGTCAAGTGTCTGCTCATTCCCTTTTACTCAGGTTAACTCATTAGCCTCTCTTCCACTGTACCTCTAAATTGCTTATATGATTTTATCTCTCCAAAACATGTATTTAATCCTTTTTTCTGACCCCATCTCCTGATCTCCTAAAATCCTTTCATTGTGTCCCAACAAATCTCCTGTATTTTTTACTCTTTTTCACTTTGCTCTAACCTAGTGTTTCCACAAAACACTGCCATCCCTATAACCTCCTCAAATAGTACCACCGGAGGAGCGTAGAGGTAGAGCATGGTATCCTCTATTCTCCCTTCATAAAACCTCAGTTCTGAATGTCAGATGAGACTGTCACTCACTAACTGTAGGCATTCACTGCTCCAGAGTTCACAACCCCTCATTTCACAATGATTTTTAACTTCTGCCTCACTGTCATGTCACTCTCTCCAACAATATTTACAAGTTATGGTGATTTCAATACACATAATACACCATTCTCTTTCCCACTCTCCTAGAGGATTAGTTCATATTACTTTTCTCTCCTCATACCTCCAATCTATCCCCTTTCTCTAGCCTCCTTCTCAGCTGACCACCTTGCTTCCTACTTTGGAGAAATCAGAATCAGAAGAGAATTTCCACAATTCCCCCAACTCAGTATCTGTATCCAGGAACTAAACTGCTCTGGTTTTACTACAATGAACTGAATAGGCATCTACTGCAGGTCAAAGATTCTACCTTCCTTACCTATTAAGATCATTACTCCAGAAATTCTCCTCCCTCCTGTGCCAAAATGTTTTCCTCACTGCTACATCTTAACCATCAGTATACAAAAACATGTTGTCCCTTCCATATAAAAAAAGAAAACCACTTCTCTTCCCTTCCCATTTCAGCTGCCACCTTTTCCTTTCTTTTATTATTATTATTATTATATATATTTTTTGAGATGGAGTCTCGCTCTGTCGCCCAGGCTGGAGTGCAGTGGCACGATCTCAGCTCACTGCAATTCCGCCTCCCGAGTTCATGCCATTCTCCTGCCTCAGCCTCCCAAGTAGCTGGGACCACAGGCACCTACCGCCACACCCGGCTAATTTTTTGCATTTTTAGTAGAGACAGGGTTTCATCTTGTTAGCCAGGATGGTCTCGATCTCCTGACCTCGTGATCCGCCCATCTCGGCCTCCAAAAGTGCTGGGATTACAGGCGTGAGCCACCACGCCCGGCCTATCATTATTTTTTAATGGAAGAAGAAACATGTTTGTATACTGATGGTAAAGTGCAGCAGCAAGGAAAAAATTTTGATACAGGAACAGGGAGGACTTTTGGAGCAGAGTTCCTTAGAAAGTTCCTACACTTGCTGTCTCCCATTCTCTCTGAATCCATCCCATGATCATACTGTTACACAACGGCACTGAAACACGATTCATGACTTTCAAAGACCCTCACCACCACCACCACATTGCTAATGCCTACAGTCATTTCTCATCTGACTTAACCTCTCCGCCACACCCTAACATAGATGATTAGTCCCTCCTGAAACACCATCTTCCCTTGGCTTCCACCACCACCAACACTGGTCTTCCTCCTACCTTTTTGGCTGTTCCTCTTGTACAGAATTCTCCTGATCTCTCTTGATGTCTAGATGTTGGAGCACCCCAGGGCTCAGTTCCTTTCTCTATAAGAGGTCTCAGAATTCCCTACGCCTCAGGTGAGCATACCCAGGCACATGGCTTTGGATTTTATTTACACGCATTTATTTGAATGCATTTTTATTTCAAGCCCAGACATTTCTTCTGAAATCCAGATCAGCAAAACTAATTCCCATCCCTACTCCACATCTCCTCAGATGTCTCAATCTTGCTCCTTCCTATCCTCTGTTAATGAAAAGTACATATGTGCAGTTGCTGAGGCTCCAAATTTGGGGAGCCATCCTTAATTCCTCCATTTTTCTTATGTGCCAACAAGCAGTTTGACAGCGAATCTTGTTGACTCCACTCACAAATGTATTCAGAATTCAACCACCTTACTCCACAACCATTGCCAACACTCTGGGCCAATACCTCCAAAGTGACTTTCTTATTTCTGCCCTAGTTTCCCCCAATTTGCAACACAGTAGCCAAAGTGGCACTGTTAATGCAGAAGTGAGATCACGTGTCTTCTCAAAACCCTCAAATGATTTCACATCTCTCTCAGAACAAATGCCGAAGTTCTTTATCATCTACCGGGTCCCTCAAGAAATGCACATCTCACGGCACTCCTATCATTAGTCTTTTCCTGACTGAACTACATTGGCCTCCTGATTGTTCCTCACACATGCCAGGCACACTCACTTCCAGCCTTTGCCCTTGTCTGGAATGCTCTTTCTTCAGATATAACATGGGTCCCCTTTCTGTCAAATAGTACCTTCTCAGTGAGGCCCTCCCTAGTCATACTATCTAAAAATTTCAATCTCCCTCTCTAATCATTCAAATTTTGCCTTTTTTTGGGGGGGCGGAGGGTGCTCTTAAGCACTTATTTAACATAATATATATCCATTTATCTTCTAAGACTCAAGAAGTCAGAGATTTTTGTCCTATACCAACAGTGCGCTATAAAGACAAATAAAATGAATGAACAACTGAATATATCTCAGTACTACCATAAAGACTGTTCCCTGGTTCTCTCCTTTTAATAAAGGTCTAAATAAAAAAAGGTATTATTTTCTTAAACAAAAGACTCTGCTGGACTGTAATATCACATTACTGATTATACCTAGGCAATCATGAATCACATAATTTATATTTGGGAAATATCCTTTCTTTCAAAAAAGTTCAAAAATCCATTCAGAAACTCTTCACTGTGTCTTTAAAAAAGACTCAGTTACATATATATCCAAAACATACTGGTAACCTTCTAAGTGAAAACTCTAATTACTGCAGAAATTAATCATGTAGCACACAGCACTGAAATATAACAAGTGTTTGCCAAAGCTGCAAAATAAATCTGTTAGTGAATGAAAGGTCTTGACTGTGAGTTGTCCATGTACTTGGTGTGTTGAACAAAGAATTGAACCAAACACACAAAGGAATAAAAGAATGAAGCAACGAAAGCACAAACTTATTGAAGCAAAAGTACACTCCACAGAGCAGAAATGGGCTCGAGCAAGTGGCTCATGAATCCCAACTACAATGTTCTTCAGGGATTTTTGGGTTGTTTTTTTTTTTTTTTTTGAGATGGAGTTTCACTCTTGCTGTCCAGGATGGAGTGCAATGGCGTGATCTCAGCTCATCACAACCTCCTCTTCCCGGGTTCAAGCGATTCTCCTGCCTCAGCCTCCCAAGTAGCTGGGATTACAGGCACAAGCCGTACCATGCCCGGCTAATTTTGTATTTCTTAGTAGAGACGGGTTTTCTCCATGTTGGTCAGGCTGGTCCCAAACTCCCAACCTCAGGTGGTCTGCCCCCCTTGGCCTCCCACAGTACATTACAGGCGTGAGCCACCGTGCCTAGCCATTTTTTTTTTTTTTTTTGAGACGTAGTCTCGCTCTGTCACCCAGGCTGGAGTGCAGTAGTGCGATCTCAGCTCACTGCAACCTCCACCTCCTGAGTTCAAGCAATTCTCTGCCTCAGCCTCCTGAGTAGCTGGGATTACAGGTGCCCACCACCATACCCAGCTAATTTTTGTATTTTTAGTAGAGACAGGGTTTTACCATCTTGGCCAGGCTGGTCTTGAACTCCTGACCTCATTATCCACCGGCCTTGGCCTTCCAAAGTGCTGCGATTACAGGTGTGAGCCACCATGCCCGGCCTAGGGTTTTTACTAAGTTAAAAGAATTTGGTAACACTCCTAGGTGCCCTTTAGAGGCCTCCAATTGATTACATCCTATGAAAGATTAGCCTGTGACCAATCAGAGACTGAAGTGGAGACTTGGTTCCCAGCCAATCAGAGGCTGAAGTGGAGACTTCTGTCTTGTTATCACAGGAGTAAAGATGTGGCCTACATGCCTAGAACTGGCTACACCTACTATCCTTTTACTCATCTTGCCTAGAACTGGCTGCACCTACTGTTCTTTTACTTATACGTTCACCCTTGAGTACCCTAATTCTCTATTCTCCTGCCTCATTTCTCCCTGAGAGACATGATCCCCAGAAATCTTTATGGAAGGCAGAGGCACTGAGGATCAATTTTCTGTAGCTGCTTCTTGCTGGTCATGGGTGTCATCCCTGCCTATTGGGGATCATGGCTGTCCTGAGGTTAGGTGGATATCCGTGGGTTGCAGTGAGCCTTGTACTTGGTGGTAAAAGGTGCAGCTGGCTTGATCCAGTTGTGACAGTTGGGTACTTTGGCCTGATTTTAGATTTGGACAAAGAGATAAAAATCATCAAAGAGAGTAGAACAAGGCCACATATTTTCAGAAGCAATCTACAAGGGGTATTTTTCTCTTCTTATGAGTCCTCCTTTTCAGTGTCACATTTGTGGTCAGCACTCACAGTTCTTTTGATGGAGATTAGTAGACAAGATGTACTAGGGAAAGGAAGTTATAAAAAAAAAAAAAGGAAAATATTAAAGGAGAAGTTAATGGAAAAGATCCGTCTTGCATTAGAATAACCT